TAGGTGTTGCTTCTGGGAAACAAGTTTGGATTTTCTTTACCATTGCTTGTTCTCTTTCCAGTTATTTGCCACAGCTGTTTGCTGGTCAGAGGGCCTTTTACATCTTTCTTCACCTTTCTTTTCCCTCCCATTCCATACACTATGCCTTCCAAAATTGTGAAACTCGGGCTGCCTGGCCCTAAAGCCATATCTATTTTTGTTTCAGTTTTCTTCTACCAGCTCCAACATCACCCTTAGTTTAACTTTTCAGTTTCTTCCTCCCGGAAACAGCACTGTTTCTAGCACATAGCTTTCACTTTGCTTGAATACTAAAGGAATATCTAGTTTGCAGCTGTATATGCAATCTGAAGCCCTTCTTTGCCATCTTTTGTTGATCTATTTTTTTTTTTTGTGTATTTGTTAAATATCTGTTTTCTCAATTCAACTTTTTTGTCTTTTATCTTATTTTGTTTAGATTTTCTTGTGAACAAAATATTTATTGTTTCTTACTTTGTATTTTCTAGTTTGATGGTAATTCATATTGCATTTCTGTTCATTGAGAAAATAGCTATGCAATAGGTTTTCCACAGTTGACTTAGGAAAATTTCCAATTTCTTTACTGTACTCCTTTTCTTTAAATGAAGCACATATAGAAACCTAGTGACATATTTATAGCTCTATCAGAATACAAAATTAAGTCTGATTTGCTGTATTGTATTAGCAACACCTTTCATTTTGGCTCTGTTTCATTTCTCATCCTCCATAGAATAATTGTATTTGGTTATTTTGCTTTGTATGATTTAATGATCTAATGTGATGTGGGTTTTTTTTATTTTTTTTTCGTTTTGTTTTGTTTTCCCTGCACTGTTCTTCTGTATATATGCTTAAGTCCAAAGGAACAGGAGGTTTTGTTTGTTTTTATTTTACTTAAAAAACTGTTTCATATGATGATAGGTACAAATTAAACTTTTGAAAACATTATCACAGAGTCACAGGGGTTGGAAGGGACCTCTGGAGATCATCCAGTCCAACCCCCTACAGCAGGTCACACAGAAAAGCATCCAGGTGGGTTTCGAATATCTTCAGAGTAGGATATTGGATGTCAGGGGGAAATTCTTTATAGAGAGAGTGGTGAGGTGCTGGAACAGGCTGCCCAGAGAGGTTGTGGATGCCCCATCCCTGGAGGTGTTCAAGGCCAGGTTGGATGGGGCACTGGGCAGCCTGGTCTAGCATTAAATGAGAAGACTGATGGCCCTGCATGTGGCAGGGGGGTTGGAGATATCATGATCCTTGAGGTGCCTTCCAACCCTGGCCATTCTGTGATTCTGTGATACTCCATTAGAGGAGTATTCATTAGAAGGATAACCTTTCTGGGAAACCTGTTCTAGTAAAAGTAAATATTTTCCTCGTGTTCTCATCGAACTTTCTGTGTTCCACTTTGCACCCATTGTCTATTGTCCAGTTGCTGAGTGACCCCAGAAGAGCCTGGTCACATCCATTTGATACCACCCATTAGTGTTTGAGGAATTGTTCACATGTAGAAGTGACCAAAGTGATTTCTATGCCTAGGGACAAGGACAATCATGCTTATAACTCAATGTAAATAGTCATGGTAGAACACTGCTTTAGGTAAACAACACACACACATTTAACACATCTCTAATAAGACTTTTTCTAGCTTCAGCCTGGTTTGGGTGTGCAGTTTGTGGTTTATTTGGGTTAGAATATTTCCAACCATTCCTTGTGCCATCATATCAACTGCTTTTGAGGAGCTTTTGTATGTCAAACAAGTAACATATAGAAATTAATGTCGTGTGCCATGATTTGAGTCTACTTAAGATTCTGTCAAGACTTTTTTTCCTCCATAGAATAAGCATAAGGATAGATCTCTTTCTCTACTCTCCTTTTTCTCTAAATTTAACATAGATATTCTTGGACTTTGGTATAAGAAGGCACAGCTCCTGGAGAAGTCACTGGAGTTCTGGCTGCTTATCCAAGGATTGGATTTAGCTCCTGAGTTTCACTGGAGGATGGACACAGTGCTTCCTTGTACATTTGGAACAGCTAAGGCCTGGTTTTGTAGAGTGAACTGTAGCTCACTCATCAAACAGTTCTATGATGAGCTGTTGGAAACTCCATCACAGTGTATAAATTTTGTATGAAGATAATTTAGTGCGCATCATGGATTTTTTTGTTTTTCAGTGATAATTTTGTTTGGCAAATCTGAGGTTTTGCTGTTTCTCTCAGTGTGTTCAAGATAATTTAAATGTTGAAAAAGATTTGTCTGGCATCCTCTGAAGTAAGAAACCTAGGCCTGGGGAAGAGCAAAGGGGTAACAGAGGAGCAACTAGTTAGCCAAGCACTTGTATTCTGCTAACAGTATAAACTAACATGCATTCTGTAAAAGAGCGGGAGGTCACTTTTGAGAGGCATTATTTCCTGTGAATTCTAGAGGGAGAATTTTTTCCAGCATGGAAAAATCTTCCTGCAGAAATGGAGGAAAAAAAGAAAATCAGCCCATGTCCAATTTCATTCTTAATTTAGAGAACTTAATTTGAATGCTGAATGTATAACTGAAGAAAACCTATGAATTGGTTTGAACGCTGTGCCATGAAGTCTATATGAGGACGGTTTTCTTCAGAAGTTGCATTGATCTTCTGTATTCGAATTTTCTTCTATAAGCCAAGACTTTGATTAAACCAGCAGCTGCTTGCTTTGCTGTATCAGATAGGCAACCGTCTATCATTTTCCACCCTCATGGGAACTCAGATGCTTTGCTGAATGTAGCATTTTTGGCAAGGCTGCCATTCCAAGCAAAAAACCTGATCCTCATAAAGAACTTACATAATTATCACACTGTCATATCAGTTGAAACATAGCCAGCAATGGCTTTGTACTGATCCTTCCTTCTCTGAGTTTCTCATTGAGGCTTAGTAGAGCCCTCCAAGGTCATACAACATATTTCTTAATTTTTTCATGGAGCCTTGTGCAAGTGAATTACCTAGTCTCAAAGGGAACAAATGGGAAATCCTCTACACCTGGTCTAAGAAATAATCTCTGTGCTCATAAGAGAAAGGAAGAGACTTGAATGAGATCTGGTAAGGGTTTATGAAACACAGAAGGTTTGGAGCTTTTCTGGAAGCTGCCAACTTGTAGGAGCTTCTTTACTTTCAAGGCTTACAGGTTGTTAAGGAGCACCAGTGCTGGGTTTCACACCATTTCCATTGAGTAAAATCATCTTCTTTTGATGGACTGACATGAAATAATCTAATAGAGCAAGCAATGTTGATATTAGGTGCAGGAAGGAAATAAAAGTCGGATGTTGAAAAGAAACACCAGAATTACTGAATCTGATTAACACTAAATTAAAAAAAATTAACTGATGAGGTCTCTGAGATGATATTGAACAAACCTGAGGAACACAGGTCATTTCAGAGCACTAGGGAAAAATGCTGCATGTAAATTTTTTAAAAATCTGAATAGAGTTGGCATGGACTTGTGTAAATGCAACGTAATGTCAATCTCAGGAAAAAAAAAACAAAAACACAAATATGAGTATGGGAGGCAGCTGACAAATAACAAAGGGATATTGAAGTTTTACATGTTGGCATCTTTATGGTGGCAGTTTATATGTTGTAATGAAAGTCAGTCAACTGTGCCATTCTTACATGACAGAAACTACAAAGGCTTAATGTATTAATACTACCTACTGCAGAGTAAATTCAGTAAGAAAATGACTCTCTGATGTCAAAAAAATTATTGGGCAGGTTGAGAACTGACTAACCAATAGATCTTGAATAACTGTACATAGGGAATACTTTTCCAAGTACAGAATTTTTACTGATGTCCTGCAGAGATCATAGAATAATGGAATTGCTCAGGTTGGAAAAGACCTTAAAGATCATCATGTCCAACCACAACTTAACCATTCTACCTAACTCTAACAACCCTCTGCTAAATCTTGTCTGTGAGTATCACATCCAAACGGTTTTTGAACACATCCAGGCATGGTGACTCAACTACTTCCCTGGAGAGCTTATTCCAGTGCTTAACAGCCCTTTCAGTAAATAAGTTTTTCCTGATATCTAACCTAAACCTCCCCTGGTGCAACTTAAGGCCATTTCCCCTTGTCCTGTCACCAGCGAGAAGAGACCAGCCCCGCTCTCACTGTAAGCACCTTTCGGGTACTGGAAGAGAGCAATGATGTCTCCCCTCAGCCTCCTCCTCCCCAGACTGATCTGTACATTTATAGAGTAGCAAGGAGTGACTGTGCTGGCACTGGCAGCAATGCTGCCTGTTAGCTCGGTGATCTAAGCCTGTTAAAAATAAGCATTTTCATACAGTCAAGCTACAGGTAACACACAAAGTAGTGATTGTACTTTACAAACCAGTAGCTGTGAAAACAACTTTACTGCTGAAATAAGACACAGCTGAACATAATTTGAGGCACTGATAAAGAAGCATGGCAGTGCTTGGACTTAGGCACCTTTCAAAGTTAGAATAAAATACCACATGTATTATGCTTACTTTTAACTTCTGTGCTGCTCTTATTAGAACAAGGTGCTGTTCTGGAGCTCAGGTTTAGTTAAAGGCCTCTGACAAATTAGAAGGGATGCAGAAGAGTTTCAGTAATGCTTAGAAAACCTGCTCAACATCTAAAACTGGTTTATCCAAGATAACTTTAGAAGTCAAGTATCTTTATGAGACAAGAGCGTAATGGGATCCAGCTGCTTGAGTACTAAATATGAAATAAGGGAGAGGTGTGTGGGGGAGGAGATGCACTGTTGTTGTGACCTGTCCACTTCAAGTCAGCCATCATCAGAGCACCCAGGTCAGGCCAGCTTCACTACCTAAAACTGCAAATATTTGTGTTGGCTCGGGTGACTGTTGTGCTTGGCCATTAGAAGGGTAGAGTTAGCTTGGCTAATTGTAACTGAAAGGAAGAAATATTTCTATCTTGATGTCCATGACTTTATTTTAGAATTTTAATAGTTTACATTAATTTTTCCCTCTTTCCTTAGGGCACCAATGCCTCTGCTCTGGAAAAAGACATTGGCCCAGAGCAGTTTCCCATCAATGAACACTACTTTGGATTGGTCAATGTAAGTACCATTTTCAATGGACAAATCCTATGTAGAACTATGGTTTTTATGAGTTTTACTTACTTTTTTTTTCATCCCAATGCTGCTCTAAGGCAGGATTGCCTTGTTTTTAAAAAGTGCTGTGCATGTTCCAGTTTTAGGCAGAATGGGCTGCAAAATTGTTTAAAGATGTTTTGAAGATAACTTCATACTCCCCAGAGAAAACAGTTAAGTGTTCTATGAATGTTTCAGTGGTTAGAACATAAACTTGATAAAGCTAAAAGTCTATTTTACCTATAAAATACGGGGACAGTCTCTTTAATTTTTGGTGGAAAGTGATGGAATTGTATAAAAGTTTACGTACTTGATCTCCGAGGTCTCCTACTGAGCACTAAGATGGAGCCTAGCAGGAATGTACTGATATATGGAAGCAAGTTTAAGGAGACCTGTTGCAATAAATTTATTTCTTGCAAGTGGAGTTTTTACATTATATCCTAGTTAATTTAGAACATCATAATTCCTTGTGTTTTTCTATGCATTGTTTGGATAGGTGTGGAAATATATTCCTACAGCAGCTGCCTGGCAAAATGGCTGTGTCGCAGAAGACAGATGTTGAGTCGTTTCTTGTGATATACAGAGATTAAGATTGTTTTTGCTTTTACATGGCAGTTTGGGAACACCTGCTACTGTAACTCCGTGCTGCAGGCACTGTACTTCTGCCGGCCATTTCGGGAAAATGTTTTATCATACAAGGCCCAACAGAAAAAGAAGGAAAATCTCTTGACTTGCCTGGCAGATCTTTTCCACAGTATTGCTACTCAGAAGAAGAAAGTTGGAGTTATTCCACCAAAGAAGTTCATATCAAGGTTACGAAAAGAGAATGGTAAGTATGAAACTGGAATCCTCTTAGATATCTGTAAGCTAATCAGGGAAATTTAAACATTGAGCAATGTGGTCGTATTAGTCAGATGTTCAGTTTAAGTCTGTAAATAACTTTTAGCACCTTTTTGGTTTTAGATATTAATATTATAGTATCTGTTATGCAGTACTATGCTTGAAATTACTATGCCGGATTTCCTGATTTCTCAGAGGTGATGATTTAGTGCATGGTATGACAGACCACACCGAGCAATGAGCTAAGGCTGGGAAGAGGGTGGCATTCTGCCTCAGGTTTTTTCTTACTTACATTGCAGAGAGAAATGCTGCGGGCAGCTGGCAGTACTGAAGCAGTGTGGTCTATTAGGTCTACAGGCATTACAAGCCAAAACACCCTGGAGGACAGGAAACTGTGTTTTGGGGTTGTTTAGTGGGTTGCGTGTCAACCATTGCTGGTGTTCTTAGGAGCAGTGGATGCAGTCTGACCTTTTTGAGCACCACATTGGCAACAGCATATGCCTGATCTTTTAGTGTTTCTTCCCAAGGGATGGGAGGAATGTCTTGAAATAAGGAAGCCTGCCATACAGTTCCTTTTCAGCCTGGATTCATATCAGTGTGGGGGTTGTACTTGGAAACAAGGGAGCTTTGAATGAAGAGAAGAAAGAATTGTGAGTTAACACCTGGGAGAAATTGCCTCCTGGTGACAGCATGTAAATGGGCAGACTGTCCATTGCAAAGCAGGCATTGTAAACAGTGACAAAGTCAGCTCCAAGTCATCTCAGTGATAAATGCTCCTACACTGCTGGGATCACCTTCTGGGACCAGGTCTTATGTTTTCAACTTTTTCAAATTAGGGCCAGATTTGGGATATATTAATGTGCTTCTGTGTTCAGGCTAGCTGCTGCAAAGCTATGGAACTGTACAACATTTTTGAGGAAATCCATGTGGGCTTTTTCCAGGAGCAGAGGGATAAAACCACACATTTCTTGGGAATGCAAATTATTTATCTTTAATGTTTTGGGCAAGTTAAGCCTTCACTAGGGAAGAAGCCTGTTTTTCATCACCACTGAGGTAGTCTCTGCTTCAGAAAGCATTTTATATGAAAGAGAAGTCTGTGCTCATCAGACTTGTGTGCAAAAAATAAACTTTGATGTTGCTATTATTATTATTTTTATTATTATATGTTAGCATCCAGCATCTTCGTTTTCCCCAGTCAAGGGTTGTACTGTCCAAACTCAGTGATGTGGAATGTATGGGTGGGAGTCAGTCTAATGTTAAGCAATGGGTGTAAGCAATTAATGTAAGTTCCTTCTGTAGTCACCAGTTTTCTTGTACAGCGGGCACAGATAGTTGCCTGCACTGAGGACCACCCTCTTTCTTTCTTCACTGACTGTAGTAGAAGCCCACACAGTTAACTCCAAATACAACTTTACTCTTTTAGACATGCTGAAGTTATGTGAGTTGAAGTCTTCCCTCAAAGAAGCTTCTTTGAAGCCAATGTACTTTTCTTTGGCATGATTTTAAGTAGTTTGCTGAGCAAGGACCAATACATGTCTTTGGAAGACATGACTTTAGTTTGATTTCTTGAAATAAAAGATATACTCAACTTTAGAAATCTTGACTCTCTTCTTCACAGATCTCTTTGACAACTACATGCAACAGGATGCACACGAGTTTTTAAATTACTTGCTGAATACAATCGCCGACATTTTACAGGAGGAGAAGAAACAGGAAAAGCAAAATGGGAAATTGAAAAATGGCAACATGAACGAAGCTGAAGAGAACAATAAGCAAGAACTCACCTGGGTGCATGAGATTTTTCAGGGAACACTGACTAACGAAACTAGATGTTTGAACTGTGAAACCGTAAGCATTGGGATAGATCTTTTTTTTTTTTTTTTTTTGGTTGTTGCCCTTTAATAGATAGATACATTTTATATATATAAACATATGAATCTTTTCAGACATCTGAGAATTGTGGATATTCCTGTAGACTTTACTTCTTGAAGTGAGTATATTCTTTTCTAAAAATTTATTTTTCTAGGTGTTTCTTGGCTAGCCTTTGCCAAGTCTGGCTGTCATAACATGTACCTCTACACTTAGAACCCTTGCTAGTTAATCAGTATCCTTCTCTATTACTGTAACTTCAGGAGAAGGTATTTGCATTGTTATTCCAAGAACCAGTGGAAAGTTAAGATGGATTTGCGTTAATTTATGTCGAAGAATGTGACTGACAAAGGATTTGTTATTAACAAGCCATATGTGTTCTTTTGTCTTCTGAAATATTCTTAAAAGAATGGTAGAAGTCTCTTTATTTGAAGTCTCAGTAAAACACAACATAGTTTGCAAATCTTACCTAACTTTTGCTTTGTGAAATGGAGGTGTCAAGGATGAACTAGTTTTCTCAGCACCTTCTATAGTTGGTAGAGTTTGCAAAGGACCTTCTTCAGGAATCTCTCTCCATCTGTCTCCAGGCTGTTCTGTGAGATGAAAGCCTGAGCAGTATCAGGTATTCTGTCTAAGCAGTACAGCTTGTTTTCATTCCAGTCCTTGCATTGAGTTGTTACAATTGTGTGTGCAGCAGTGTTGTAAATTGGGCCAACAAACTGATCTTTCCTAAGAATGATGTTTCCAACTCAAACCAATATTGCTACTATGACACTTGTCTGTAGAAAACACAGCTTTAGATTACCTGCATGAAGGTGGAAGGAAGTGCCCAGAGAAATCATCTTCCAGCCACAGCTGAAGTTTAATGTCTAACTCTTGGCAGCCAAATTTAGGTGAGATAAAAGTCTAGAAGAACATATTCTGATACTCTTTAATGATAATGCTACTCCAAGAAGAAGACTTCTTGGGAGTTTGTGTTCAGGGACAGGGAAGAGTGATAAAGTGGCAATCAATTTGAGAAATGGGGTGGACTGAATCTGGAACAAGACTGTTGAAGAGAAAATGTGAGAGGTAGAGATTGAAAATTAATTCTTTAGTATATTTCAATTATGATAGCTCACATAGTAATAGCAAGATTAAAAAAAGTGGAAGGATAGGATTCTTTTTGACAGTCAAGCTTCTTTAAACAGTTGTGGCCTGTTTAAAGAAGCCTAACATAGGCCTAACATCCTATGTTTGCTCAGTCAAATTGTAATGAAGTCAGGATGTGTCCCCGAGTAACAGCAAAACCACACAACAGCCAGTACATAATTCAAAGTGATCAAGCTGTATGGAAAGAAAACAGCACTATGTGCTGCTGCTGTAGGAAGGCTAGTCTGCAGCTTCCTGTGAATGCAGAAATATGGTATTCTGCTCAGTATACTTCTACAGTTGTTTATGGTTTTTTTTTTATTTATGGTACCTTGAAATCTTTGGGAAATAATAAAATGGATTAACAGGTAACCCTTTGCTAAAATATGAGTGTATTTCGCGTGAGGAATCGTGCAGATTCCAGTAGTTATTCTCACAAAGAGGGCAGTCTGAATCTGTGTTTCCAGTGATCTCTAGTTATAGTTGTATTAGTCTAAGCTTGAATGGAATTATCTCCCTGTTTGAGTAATATGTTACTTGCTGAAATCAATAGCAGGATTCCTAGCTTCTTAGTGATATTTGGATTAAATGCTCTATTTGCCAAAGACTTTTCCAAGTATTTAACCTCCCTCTTGACATGCTGCGTGCCTGACAGAACTCTACTTTCAGCAGCAGAGACACAATGTTCTCTGAGGTTTTGTTGCTCTATTTTTGAATTCTATATATGTGTTTACACTGCTGTTGATTGTTGCCAGTTTTGTGGTTTCCTGTGCTCTTCGGATAGAATCATATCTCAGAGAGGATTTTTGCTTGAAGAACTGCTGTTCATTTTACTTAAATGTACTTTATGCCTCTGTACATCCTTGATAATGTCAAAATTCATCCCGCTAAAGGATGTTCCTCTGGGTTCAAGGTTGATTTGGACTGCAATCACCATGTTTATAGGATGACATAATATGAAGATGAGCTCAGAGCAGTATGTAATTTCCACACCCACAGACCTACAGAAATTTGAGCATGAGTGTCTGGGGTCAGAACAGCAGATGGAACCCCTTGCTGAAGTTCTGGATTTGAACTTTGCAATCCTGTCAGATTAAGTTATTCTAAAGAAATGCATTCACAGAAAGCAAGATAAGGAGTGTGTGTGCAACATTTTATAAACAGAATTGGTTGTTACAAATATGACTAAATTCATTTGCAGTAATTTTGCTACAGTCTTAGTTAATCTCATCTGAAGAATAACTGTGATGGTTTTTCTAGGTGTTCAAGGCCTTAAAAACTAATTAATGGATGAGGAGAAAATCATTAAATTTTGGGATTCAGTTGGTTACCCTGTCCTAATTCACTCTTTAATTTACAAAAATATATATTAAGATGCTGAGTAAGATGTGTTCTTCTTTATGATCTGAGATGACTCAAAAATCACCTTTTAGAGATCAGTTTGTCTACCATTCCTGAGAGAGTCCTCATTAATGTTTATTGGAGAGAGGTTCCAAATGTAACCAAAGTTTAGAACATCTTGAATTTTGGAGAAGCTCGAGCTCAGAGTTCCAAACTACCTCAGGGAGATGCTAAACTACACCTATTATGAATTGACATATCAAAGATTTTCCTAATTTTGAATCTCAAAGATGATACAAAAGATGAAGGACCTTTAATGAGATGACCTATAGGGTACATGAGTGGCATTTAAAAATCATATTTCCAGTCTGCAAAGAAACATTGAAATTCCACAATTTTCCATGAAGAGAATTCTGGAAAAAAATGTTTTGGCTCAGCTGAAGTACAGTCATTATCTATTGTAGAAAATAAATATATGTATATATATATAATTCAATCTCCTTCAAGATTAAACATTCTAGGTGAACAATCATTTTCAAGCAAAAGCCAGGATCTACGACTCTAAAAATGTTTTAAAGATTATTTTTTAGAAAAAATATTTTTATCAGACTTTTTCTCATCTTTTTCCACCTAAAAAACACACTGATGAAATCTTTACAAAATACTGCCACTTTGCCATTTTTTCCTCTAACCTCTCATTAAGTCTTGTTAAAATTATTGATCAACAATAATATTCCATGAGGAAATGCAGATGTGCCAACAAGAGACAAAGCCAGGCTTTTAAATTTTCACTGGAGAAAAAATATAAAGCATTTGAATATGATATTTATCAATGAATGCCTACATGAAAAGTATTTTCACTGTATCCTTAATAGTGGAAATAATCATGTAGGGTGTAAACTGAGATTACACAATTTATACACAGATAAAATTCTAGTATAATAAGGAGCTGGGCTGTATTTTGTAACAATAGAACATATGTACTACACCAACCAGAGCTAATGTACAGGATGATGCTCCCTGTTTAGTGGATAGCAACGTGCAATCGCCAGTCTGTGGTCAGTGGGTTTAGATAATTGGAACAGACAGAAGTTGGAAACTGGGTTGGTCTTGTTGCTTACTTGGCAGAATGAATATGGTCATGCTGATCTAGGAAAAAAAAAACAAAACACCGACAACAATTGAAATAAATACTTTGTGTAATTTGTTTTGAGAAATTGTTCCATCTTATAGCATTTGCGTATAGATACATACAGCATTTTGATGCATGAAGTTTTACTAAATCTGCTTTACGTGTATATTTTTTGCTACAGGTTAGTAGTAAAGATGAAGATTTTCTTGACCTTTCTGTTGATGTGGAGCAGAACACATCAATTACACACTGTCTAAGGTAAATGAATGCGTCCCTTTGATGAATGTTTCTATCTGACTTTGTTATATTTTCCAAATCTACCAGATGCAGAAAAGAGAAGTGGAATAGGATTGTGTTTTGAGCTTTTCCTAAGCAGAAAATTGCTGTAAACTGGGTTCTTCCTCTAGTGACAAAATACACACTAATGGATTTTGTTTTTCTCTCATTTTCAATGTATGTGTTTGAAAGAGAAAAAACAATTTCTCTCTTGGGGAAAAATTGATTGCATTGTCATCTGGAAGAATTGCTGCAGAATAATAACTGGTTTCAAAGAGATTTGTGTGTACTTATCTTTAAGCTTTTAGTCAAGAGCTTTGTTGATTAGGATTTATGTGCATATTAAAAGTCAAATGTGTGCTCTGTAGAGCACTAGAGTCCTTAGAGGGCAAAAGATTTCAAAAGTCTTCTGTTGTGCCATGTAAGTTTCTTATTGCATATCCTATCCTAAAATCATAATGAGAAGTTTTTAAGTCAGTTCCACTCTTATTTCATGCCTAATGATTAAACAAATCCTTCAGATATCTACATAATTTTCAGATTTGCATGAATGGCTATTCTAAGAGATATAAAATATATGGAGTTTTGGCATTGATGCGATAGACAGGTACTTAGGTTTAAGACAGAATATTACTGCTCTAAAGTAATGATTATCGATTGGCCAAATCACTCATTCAAGCTCCAAAATTGCTGGCAACGTTGAACAACTGCTGAAACTAATTAACAGTTGTTCTGGAATGCCTAGGAAGTGTTGCCTGATATCTCACATCAACTATGGAGTTGCAGAAAGAGAAAGCATACAAGGTACAGACCACTTCCTGAGTCAGATGGCAGTGATTTCTCTGTGGACATAACTGTGCTGAGAAATGGCTGTTGCAAAGGTAGATGCTGTGTCTTTACAGCTTAAAATACTGCTGCATTGAAAAGGTACATAAAAGAAAATCTGTGCAATACAACATTTCAGTAAAATGAATTTCTTTTCATATAGATGAATGTTCTTTTCAGTTATTTTTGTAGCTTTTCAGATTGAAAATGTCCTGTCTCTGTAAGAAATCCAAAGAATATAAGCCTCTGGCATAGCCTTAGCTCCACAAAGTAGACAGCTGGGCCTGAAGCAGCAAAAGTTTAGCTATATGTATAGTACATTTTCATTATTTTTATTTCCACTAGGAGCTGCAAAGCTTACCAGACCATTTGATCCCAATTTCTAACTAATCTGCCTGTGCTTTTTGTTCTGTTTTGTTCCACTAAGAATTCTGTCATCTGTTAAAATAGAAAATTTGTACTATTTACTCATATAAACAGTAGAAAGCATCTTCTGCACTGTTGTATAGAACCTGCAGAGTTTCTAGAAATGTGGGAGTGTAGAGGGTCAGTGATGAATTAGCATGTCTCAGAGAGAGAGAGAGAGAGAGAGAGAGAGAGTAAATTCCTTTCTCCTGTTAAAATACCACATAAATGGATGCAGATTGGCCCATTAATGGAACAGGAGGGAGTAAGAAATGTCTTGCAACTCATTCTGCTGTTGTAGAGAAGGGTTTCTCAAGCCTGTAGTTCTTGTTTTTAAGTGTGAAACATGTTTTAGGAGTGCTGTGCTGAGAATTCTTGATTGATGAAACAAGTACAGAAATTGCACTTTTGAAGGGCAACAAAACATCTATCTTTCCTCCATACATCTCTTCCCCCACAGAAATAGTTATTACTTGTATGTAGGCTATTTATTTTGTTCTTGGTACAGACAAAGAAATTAATGTGCTGAGTCAGTAAACAAGTAGTGTCTCTAGGTTCTGTGACTGTGCCTCACCTCTTTAGTAGAACACGGTAACAGTCTTTTAGGCAGAAGGTAGAGGATAGATAAGAGGGTAGTTTGTTTTAGATTAGATGTTGCAAAAAAAAGTACTCTCTTTGAGGATGGTGATGCAGTGACACAGTTTGCCCACAGAAGTAGCCGTGTGCCATGGATGCCCCATCCCTGGAAATGCTCAACGCTGGGTATGATGGGGCTTTGGGCAACCTGATTTTGCAAGAGATGTCTGTGCCCAAGGTTCCTTCCAACCCAGGGTATTTGAATGATAGAATACATCTATTTTAAGCACAGAGTCACAAAAAACCCACTGTGTCTAAAGTGGAAGATAGCTGCTTTTGTCTGCATTTACGGTTCTCAAAACACCTGTCTAGTTGCAATGTAACACTAGAGGTGACAAAACAAATTACTGTCTTCTTTTTCCTGTTAAGATTTTTAGACACCTAAAGTTCTGTTCCAAAGCTTATCAACACTGTGATTTCTGACAAATCTTTTCTGCTAACTGCACAGCAAATCATCCAACTCTGCCTCTCTTCAAAAGCTCAGTCTAGAAAGTTTCTAAGCATATTTACTTCAGGGATATTTACAAAAAACACTATACTAGATGATACTTCCCTTTTTAGACATCATGAAGGTATAACCACATAATTTCTGGATACATGTTTAGAGGTTAGGGGATGCAGAAGACTGAGTTCAATTTATTTTTCTGCATAAAAAGATTCAAGTTTAGCTTACAGGAGAACATTATAAAATGTGAATTACCTGGGGATGAAAGAAGTGTGCCTGAAGATGTTCCATTCTATAACCGGATGGGTTAAGCATCTACACTGAAATCTAGGCAGCCCCTTGATATGTAAGAGATGAGGATATAGGTCCCATTTAGAGATAGCTGACCCTTTCCCTCCCCTATGAAGGCCAGGTTGGATGGGGCCCTGGGCAACCTGGTCTAGTATTAAATGGGGAGGTTGGTGGCCCTGCCTGTGGCAGGGGGGTTGGAGATTCATGATCCTTGAGGTCCCTTCCAACCCTGGCCATTCTGTGATTCCCTGTATTGCACAGAGGGTCTCAGCACCTAATACAAAGCTGTCACTACATCCAGATACTGTAAGTCTCTTTGCAAATCCCAGTACAGTTTCTTCAGGTGTTTTAGAAAACTGGATTTCAGCGGAAACAAGATTTTATCCTGTGTGTCTTTTTAGGATTTCAGTTCCACAGTCCGAGTGTGGCTCTGGGTCAAAAGCATTAAGAACTTTGAAAAACTGATAATTGTATTTTCTTACAGAGACTTCAGTAACACAGAGACATTATGTAGTGAGCAGAAGTACTACTGTGAAACCTGCTGCAGTAAACAAGAGGCACAGAAAAGGTAAGCAAAGAGGAGGGGGTTTTCAATATCTTATTCCTGGACTTTGACAAGCCTTCTCTTTAACATTTATTGTGTTTGTAGAACTTGCATCCCACAAACACACTCTGTGTGGGCCAGAGAACTTGCAGACAGATTAAAGGTATTATACCAGTCGGTAGAAGCTACTGCTAGTATACTACTGTTACTTACAAGGTCCTTTTCTAATGCAAATATTTAATCATTAAGGAAAGAGTGGCTTTGAAGTGGACAGGTCTTTACCATGTGCATTCTTATGGTGTCACAGGATGCGAGTAAAAAAGTTGCCAATGATTCTTGCCTTACACCTCAAGAGATTCAAGTACATGGAGCAATTGCACAGGTATACTAAGCTGTCTTATCGTGTTGTATTTCCCCTGGAATTACGTCTTTTCAACACGTCTGGTGATGCTGTCAACTTAGACCGGATGTATGACTTAGTAGCTGTTGTTGTTCACTGTGGAAGGTAAGACTCCCTCACATTGATCATCTCAAACTATTACAGGTTCCAGGCATTTGTCAAGGGTGAGGCATGCCTGACAAAATGGGGGGAGTGTGGAAGAGGAGACATAAGCCATACTGCTGCCTCAGTTTGCATATATCTTGGCCAGAAGCTCTTAGCCACCCTTCCTCATAGTAATCTGCACCTCTGAAAAATAGTGCTTTAGACTCCCAAAAGTCAACAGATTGAAATCATGCAAAAGGAAGAAGAAAGCTGTGTCTTTCCTCATCACTTGGAGGGCTTGGAGCCAGAGCTCTGTGAGGGCCATGGGCTGTTAGTATGTAGACTCTGCAGCAGATCAGCCAGTTCCTGTCAGGACAAAGAAAATGATAGCTTTATTAAAGCTTCTCAGAAGTGAAGCTTTGTTAGATGTGAAACAAACAGACAAATCTTTGGGGCTGGAGAAATGTCTCGTTCTCCCTTAATCTCAAAAACCATAAGTAAGTTACTATTCATGGCTCATATTTTCAAAACATTTCCCCTTAAAATTACTTCATGTTGTTTTAAAAATATTTGCCACGGTTGATGCCAGCTATGAGAAAATTGTTAAATAGTGTGTAGATCAATTTGCAGATGGTCATAGCACAAATCAAAACAATACATTATGAATTTAGTTGATGAGGTCATTGCAACGAAGCAGAAAAAAATAGAACATATATACTGTACTGCTAGAGATGGGTTTACTGTATTCTTCTTAGCATGTAACTATAATTTCACCTGCTTTTATATAGACAAGCTACTTATCAAAATGGACTAGTACTTTCTAGTGTTATATTGGGTTTTGAGATCTTACTCCATTTTCCTTTTCAGTGGACCGAATCGTGGGCATTATATTACTATTGTGAAAAGTCATGGATTTTGGCTCCTGTTTGATGATGACATTGTAGAGGTCAGTATGCTGAAGGCCATGAGCACAACATTTGAGTTTATGTTCTCTTCTTTGTTTGGAATTAAAATTCTGATCCAGATCTGGGTATAGATTACTAGTCTGCAGAGCCACAGCTTGGTTGTAACGTGACATTTTGCTTGGCTCTGTTAGAAAGTTAGATTGCAAACAGAATGATTAATGGTGTAGTTCTTACACTGTCAGTGTAAAAGACAGTCATTTTATTGTAAAGCAACATCAAAAGTTATTAATATCAGATTCTGAGTGTTTAATTTGGAAAGTTTTTTATACGTAATAAGATCAAGTTAATTCATTAAAACTTAAAACATACAGGAACTATTTTGCAATCTTTCACAATATCACTTAGCAAAATTGGACTGGGTAAAGTTAGATTTGTTTGGAGTTTTACTTCTTGAACAACTATGAGGTTATAAGAGCATCTGAATTTTATGGTCAGTCTGGGATTGTCAGGGATTGTCTGGACGAAAATTAGTGAGGCACGTGGTCCACAGCTATCACGGATTGTCTAAACACAGCACAATTAATTCCCAAGGAAACTTTTTATGTCACTGTGGCACCTGGCATAACTGGGGTCTTGAGTCTAGTTTCCCAGATTTAAATCCATTGGAGTAAAGTAGGACTTCATGCTTCCTTCCCAATGGTCCTGTATTGAAGAGGGTTTCTGTCACTTTTCAGAAAGATGAGGTCACATTTGTGCTTTTTGTTTACTAGTGCATTCCAAACAGACTGTGTTATTTGAAAAAGCCTAATTCCTTTAGGCTCTCCAAGGCAAACATTCCTCTTGATTTCAATGACAGTGATCAGTAGGGTTTAGCACCTGAACATTAGTTAACATTTCACTGCTTGAACTGCAAAGGGAATTTGCTAACTGCTGCTCTGAAACATGTAAATGAATTTGTCCTCTGCTTTTATATAGCTTTTTAATCTATACTTGGCATTTCTTCTACTTAGGAGTACATTAAATGATTCTATTTATTTTACAGAAAATAGATGCTCAAGCTATTGAAGAATTTTATGGACTGACCTCTGATATATCAAAAAATTCAGAGTCTGGATATATTTTATTCTACCAGTCAAGAGAGTGAGTTGGGAAACTGTGACAACTGCACACAACAAATCTGCAGGCAAAGAAGGTGATGGCCCACTGAACTGACTTTTACAAAGACCTCATCTTGTATGGCTGAAAAATGATATATTCTGTCTCTCATTAAATGGCCTATGTGGTATTGACCGTAACTGTTCATTTTTGACATACAGAATTTTCTTTCAGGAGGGGAGGGTAGTTTGTTGTTTTTAAGCCTGACTGATAAGTTAATTGCAGTCAGATTCTAGTGGAATTTATATGGAATAACATTTACACATCGAAAGAATTGGATGCCAACTGTTAAACCAAATCTGGCTAGAGCAGTATTTTATACGGAACAGCTCACTGTATTTAGGCCAAAGCTGTTATAAGCTTTCTAAATGATTTTGGAGTGTCTTGACTTACTTAACCAATTTAAATGTAAGGGGGAAAAAATCTGCTTCAAAATGACTGGAATTGTCATAGGGTATTTTTTTTATTTTTATTTTTTTACACGTTACTCTCAACTGCAAAGAAAGTTAAATGATTTTGGAAAATTAAGCCTTGGGAGTTGTTAAAAACGTTCAGTGTATAATGTTAGGCCTAAAATTCACGTAGAAGGATATAAATTACAGTGGAACTAAGCAATATTATATGCCAAGTCAATGTGATAGTACAGATGAGGTGAGATTTCAGAACTTACAGAGCACTGTAATAAAATCAGCAAGATGACACATGTAACACAGAGATAAATTACTTCTATAGAGATTGAGCTTATCGTTTTGTTAAAACAATATAACACATTCTTGACTTCATTGATTTTGCAGAGATAACAACACTGCTCATGTGCAATGTATCCATGAGGACTGAAATTCCACAATCCAGCTCCAGGTGTGCTGTTGGTACACTACATAAAACAGGCTCCATCCTACAGTTTTTTAGAATATTTGACAGCGTTTTGATCAGACTTAGTTCTACTGTTTCTGATTTTACTGGGTGAATTTGGCTGGCAATAGCAATACACTGACTAATAAAACCATCAAACACACGTACTGAAATACAGCAAAGAAAGAATGTAGAAGAATGTGTCAGTAGGGTATGAGAAGGGATGGAAAGCAGAATGAGGCAGCGGTAGCACTGGGTTTCTCTCTTGCTTGGTTTGACACAGTTGTACAGTGCTTGAATCTTAGCACCCAAATAACTATTCAAATTAGATCAACAGCAAAAAACCTCCTGTTGTCTTCAGGGCAACAGAGAACTGGTTCCAGCGTTTGCAAAGACTCTTCCTCATCTCATGGAAGGTATTTCTACTTTTTACATTTTATTGACTCTTGTTCAGTATTTATCAGACCATGTTGCTTTTGGTACTTTTCCTTTAGAAGCCTGCTTGTTATTCTGTGGCAGACATTGTTTCAAAAAGCTGCTTCTGAAGCACAGCTAAATCTTCTTTTTTAGTTTTCCATAGGAAAGAGAAAAATACTTTTCACTGTAATCTACTGTGAATGTGAAATATTTTTTTGTTGAATAATGGGGAAAATGAAATACTAGCTTCTACACCAACATTGATTGAACAGATGGATTTATCTATGGCCATTTTGTAAACCAATGCAATGTAGCACTTTACACTGAAGGAGAAACAGAAGTGACCTTTTCATATGACTTTTTTTTTTTTTTTTTTTTTTTTGTTTTATCTTTTCATTATCCCTTTTAAAAAAAAAAAAAAAAAAAAAAAAAAAAAAAAAGAAAAAGAAAAGTAGAAAAGTTGTAGAGTGTAACCTTAGGGTCCTCAGGTACGTGAATAGCAGAGCTCTGCAGAGATCACTCATGTGGATGAAGGTTGTTATGCAGGCTACAGAGAAGCATAATTGGGATGCTGTTCTTGTTCTTGTATCGATGGTTAAATGAAATGTTCTGTCTGTAACACAAAAGACAGACATCCTACAGGAGACTTCAGCTCTCACTGAAGTCCAGGATGCCTTTTCCAGTGAAAAGCTAAACCTGTAAATCCTTATTTAATGGATTTATTTATGTGCATTCCAGATTTCCACATTAAAAATATAATAATTAATTGCCTTTTAAAACAGGAGCGTTTCCTGCTCGTGAATGAAGGCAGTTTCCAGATCAGCATTCATCAGTGTTGGTCCCAGGGTCTGTACTTCACAGTTTACTGCTGAACATTCATAGGGGCATTCTTCAGTTTCCAAACAAGCAAGAAAAAAAATCATTAATGCATCTCACGTTTGTACATAAAGTAGTTGTGCATAAAAATAACGTTAAAATTGGTTCAATTGTAGGATATATTAAAAAAAATATTTGAATTAACTTATCTGACAAAGTATTTTTAATTATTGGTTGGACTGAATGATCTCAGAGGTCTTTTCCAACCTAGGCAATTCTATGATTCTATGAAAATGAAGTAATATTTAAATGATAAATTATAGGATGCTCTTTGCTTTTCTCCAGCTGCAAAACAGCTCTAGGTTGTAAAACATACTGATAATTGCTATGTGTTATTGAGATCAAAATTCGTAGAACGAGCTTTTTATCAAGTATGGAAACCATGCTCAAAAATGAAGCTCCCAGATCTTTTACTATAACTAACAAGAAATGCACAAGACGTATGACAAACTATGGAAAAGGTTCATCTCATGAAAGATCATGGAAATGATATGACACCAGTCCCCCATCAGTGTTCTGACATTAACTCTGAAATATCATGGAATGCTTGCTTTATGCTAGTAACAGCTAAATTAAGGGATATTTTCTTTTGATTCCGAAAAGTTGTAGTTATAATTCTATAAATCATATCCAACCTATGGCATGCTGAATGTCTCAACTTCAGTCTGGCAAAAGCTGTCCTTCACAGCTGTGTGAGCAGTTTTGCTTCTGGTGGGAGAAGTTTTGATCTATGCCAAATTAAAACCATTTGCGTGAGTTTTGCAGGATTAGGATCTTTGCAGGAACAATAATATGATCTACTGAGTTTTATTTCATTAAATAAAATGCAATCCTTTCTCTCACGCTTATACACCGATGTCCAGACCCTTATGGAAGAACAGTAAAATATCTAGGACAGTCACAGCTTTTCAGCAAGCAGACAGAAAATAAGAAGATAGTACATGTCTAACATTGCCCTGTGCTTCCCTAAAATTGCTGCTTTTATAGTATTTGATTTTGAGTGTATTAGGTCTAGTGGAATCTGAAGTTCTCTACCTCTTTCACATGCTGCTGCTGAGAAGTATTGCCCATTTATTAAACTTTAAAAACTTACTGTGTTCTTAGTTAGAAGAAAAGAACAGTTCCATCCTATGCCATTTTTTCCACCAAACCCAAGGAAGCACTGCAGTGCGGATTAATCACTTATCTTAGAGGATGAGCTCAGACCTCAACTCTTCCACAGAGCAAGCTGTCAGGGTTTTATGTAATTTCTATTTCTGGGACACAGCAGAGGAAGGCAGAAGAAGGAGTGATGGAGAAACATATCAGTGAAGCAGAACACCTTTTTGCAGTCCTGAAATGACTCCCCTCAATCCTATATTAATAATCTACAGTAGCCACAGAGAAAAAAATAGCATCTTAAAGATCTCATTCCTTTAGCAGTTGGGGTGAAGAAAATAAGGCAGTAGGCATTTTCTTCGTGTTAGATTGAGTAAAGATCAAAGCTGCAACTGAAATCTGTGTTACACATTGGCTCCTAAAGTGCTGCCACACCTCTCCTCCTTCATCTTCAGACATGACATGCCATTCACCCACCTGTTAGAGCATCATGTACACGGGACCTGAGCTGATAACTTGCAGCTACCTGTGATGTGATGCCTCTCAGCAGCAGACCCTTCTTGTTTAGTCTCTTCTTTTTTTTTTTTTTGCTGCTTGTGGCTGGTGAGTTGGAGCAGTATCTTGCAGCTGAACGTATACTAGAAATATCGAGAAGTTCTAGTTTTAGTTTCATTCCATGTCAGTACGTTTTATCAAATTCTGTTTTAATTTATTTCTTTTTTGTTACTTTGTTAATGTATCTGTATAATAATTTAAGCAGTTAATATTATTAGTTCTCTATTTTAATTTTTATGTACTTTGAGTTTTTACATGTAAACAACCCAAGCACTTTAAGCATCAGTGTCAATCTTGTGAAATTCCAATCAGCTTATCACTTTGCTGTTGGCCTTTTGTTTTGTACTTTTTGCTTTGGAACCCTTTGCTTATGTTCCAGCATATCTAGTTACAACCCAATTTCCATATCTATGTTTGGAGTTCTAGTTGGGTGGAAATTTGGGAAGCCCAGATTTGTTCATTACATATTTGTTCATAAGTAACAAGAATGCAGTATTTACTGCATGCCTGTCCTCTGACCTTGTATAGCAATACATACCTGATGAATGCAATAACACCGCATGTTTCACAGTCCTGTTTGCACTCTTATCTGCTAGCCCATCTGGGAATGACTGCAGTCTTTTCATCTGTTACAGCTATCAGTGATCACAAAAATCCACTTCTTCCAGGAAAAAATCATTTTTACTAGACAGACAGTTAAGCCAGTATTCAACTGATAATGCACGTATTGCTCTTTGCCATTTTATCTGCTCTCTGTGCAATCTCAAACATGAGCAATCTGAAGAGCTGCATTTATTCATGGCCCTTGTGTGTGTACAAGCAAGGAGAGAAATCTTTTCAAATATTTCCTCTCCCCACTAGGGTTCGTATATAGGGAAGATGAGAAGCAGGGTATGTGCTGGTGTTAGAAAAAAATAGCACTCCATCTATCAGAGACACTGGACATTCCTTATGGAGCAGTGCTGATGGTAACCATATCAGAAAGTTACTTCAAAATTTTAGGGGCAAGGGTAATTGTTAGGTTTTTAGACATAGTATTCTGTTTGATCAACGAAAAGACCCGGACTTTTTCTGTTGCTGCAGTGTTTTTTCTCAGTTTAACATGGCACTGAATATTTAAATGTCCCTTGGCAAGCCTCAATAGACATGCTTTTAATTTCTTTCCAGCTAACATGCATTACTTCAAAGAGATTACTTGAACCCAGCCACAAGAACAATTTAGATTAGCACAGCCCTTTTGCTTACAAGGTCAAATAACACCTACCAGGAGGTATGTGCCCACCTGATGGGACCAGCTGGGCTAAACCAGCACCTTTTTACACACTAATGATCCTTTA